TTGCGATTTTGAGATAAAGGCTTTCATTCTATGTTTTGCCTATTATGATCGTTGGAATCTCTTCTCATTGATTATTGACCGGAAACGGAAATTTAAAAAATTAAGCTACGTCCCTGTACTCCGTAGTGCCTGTTAAAATTTAAACCACCAATTCTATTTAAAGGATGGATTTAAATCCGTGATTCAAATTTGAACCGGTGGTAGGCAGTTCAAATTCATCAACATCGGATATTAAGTTGAGCCACCTCTCTCCTGGTTCAACTATGTCTCCTTGTATATTAATTAAATCTGGTTCCTTATTTGGTTTTTATGCTTAGAATCAAGGAGAAGAATCTGAGGATAGTTCTGATGAGGAAATAAATGGAGAAGATGAGATGATTGGTCCGGAAGTTATGAATGGATCAACCAACGGATTAACCAATGGATATGGGAGCTCTAGTGAAATGGATGAAGATTAAGTCAGCTCCTGTGGATCTTCAGAATATATTCATTTTCTCGACAAAATTAATCATTTAAATGAAGCCAGGCAAATTAAACGTTATTTTGTGTTCTTAGGATGTTTGGAAATAGAACAGGATTCAGAATTTAAATTGTTAAATCATTTTTTTTACAATAAATAATATGATTATTTTATTGTTAGTTTTTATCTTATAAACATGGATGCTTTATTTGGTTCTGTATGGCCTCATTTACTGAAGCAATAGCTTCCAAAATAAAAAGACAACTATAAATTTTACTCCTCTCGGTCCTTGTAAATAACTTGTCCGTGACCGCACAAGGGTGAGTATGCTATGAGCGGGCAAAATTCTACAAAGAGCACATTTTACATTAAAGAGGTTTATTTATTAATCTGTAAGTTTTTTAGTTTTTTTAATTTTTAATTTCAATGCAGTGTTTTCGTGGGTGGACCAGACCAAGTCCACTCCAGATCTTGGTCCAACTACTCATCAAAGTGGTTTAGTTTTTAATGACTAAATCTTTATATTTTTCTTTTATTAAGAATTTTCACATTCTTTAAATTTTTAATATTCCGAATTCAACCAGGATTAGATTTTTTTTTCAATTAATTTATCCCAAGAAAAACTAGGATGGCCATTTTAGGTATTAATGTCTGGTATTAAAAAGTTATGAAATCTATTAAAAATCATGAAAAATTGAGTTGAATAATTAAATTACTATGGTTTTGTGTTGTCGATGCTGGATTGGTAGATTCGTGGAACAATCTTAAGAGAAATCTTGGATAAACGATGGGTGGGAAACCTAAGCCCCAAGTTTCCAGAAGAAATTCTACGCCTATACATTTTCGAAATGTGTACTCATAACATACATATAAATTTAGAATAGTCTGGAAAAAATTAGGCTCCTCAGTCCTCATTCCTTTATCTTTTGAATTAGAAAATCTGTTCGTTTAAATATCTGAGCTGTTCGGCCCCATAATATTTAGAATTATTTAAAGCTAAAGATAAACTTAAACCTTTTCTCCAGTTAAACCCGTGGTAAATGGGTACACTGGGGAGTGAAAATGACGAAGGCTAAACAAATGTTGGAAATTCCACTGGCAACGTAGATCAAATCATGATTTAACACCAAGCGCGGGTAAACGGTGGGATGAGCTATATTTTTAAACAATAATATAATCCAGGGCAACGCCGGGCGCTTAATCTAGTATTGAATATTAAAAGGTAACCAAGGGACAGATATATAATTAAAGCATGTAAACGGGCATTAGAGGACTTTTGGACTCGCTCAGTCATAACTTAAGTCTCGTTTTTGAAGTGTAAGTTTGTATCTTTTATATTATTAACCACTGTATATATTCGAATACAGTATACACAAAGGAAGATATTATTGAAGTAATGTATACATATTTTTAGAAAAAAAATTTAATATAATATATATAATTTTTTGGATGTTCAAGAAAAAACTGAATAACTATTTAAAGATTAAATATTAAATATTTTCGTTAAAAAATGTTACTAATTACTCTTATATTAGGCCTAAAGCCTAAAGGTCTAAAGCACTTCGCACCCATCTTCTATTTCAATTTTGAACATTTTTTCTTTGTATTCTTTGTATTCGAAATGTATTCTTTAAACAAGTAAAACAAAAACAAACAAAAAGTTTGCGGATTTATAAAAAAAGTTCGTGGATTTTTAAAATTTAATCAAAATCGAATTTGTTGGCCAATTTTTGAAATTTTGATCATCTGTAAACCTTCCCTGGGGACATTTGAATTCCCACACAAAATTTTGGCCTGATCGGTTCAGTCGTTTTAACGTTTATTGGATACAAACAGACAGACAGACAGACAAACAAACAGACAAGCCAAATTCATATATAGATATAGATATATTCTAACGTTTAAGTGTAGCGCCAGGTCATTTTAAACACTATTGCAAATACGGAGGCTTGGAGACTATTTTCTGGGGCTCACGGATGCCCTGCACCCCCTCCCTCTCAAAACTTTTGTTGTTTCCATTCTGGGCATTATGTAAACTTGTTTATTTAATAATTTTTATTTTAAGTTGAAACAAAAGATGGATATACTTCACGAGAAGATGGAACAGAATAAGAAAGGAGTTCGTGTTCAACCTGAACGTCCTCCTCTACTAGGTACACTGTAATAACAATGTTATGGTTGCGTAAGATTTGTTTCAAAGTTTCTAAAATCAAATAGATAGATATATATATAGATAGATAGGCTTTAAGATAATTTAAAACCGAATTTCACTCAAAACTGCGTTATTTATGGTAAAGGTTGAATTTCTCCTTTCCTTCTAAAACATTTTTAAATAATATCAACATCAGCAGGTGAGTACATTGTACAAAATGTGTTTTTAAAGAAGGAAATAAGCATTAAAAGTAAAAACATTTTGCCTTATGATTTATGGGTGCGGCTAGGAAGCGAAAATTGTAAACGCAGTGCCGTGGCTCTGTGAGCCAATTGCGGGATGGAGGCTATGCTGGTGCGGCTTGACTCCCCCTCCCTCCTCTCCTTATGTACTGATGTTTTAAGTTACTATGTTTAGTATATGGGAGTGAAGAAGATGAAGCATTCGACGAGATTATGAGAGGAGTAGTATTAGAGCCCAAGGTACAGTAAGTTAGTTTCCCCCACCACTCTGCCCATGTTCTCGGAACTGTTAAATAGCTGACAGCAGTGCTTAGAATCCATTTGATTTTGATGCGGATCCTAATCCTTGATCCGCAATGGGAAAAAATGGATCCGATCCCAGGTCATGAACATTTTTTGTAAGATTTTTTGATTAATTGAACATAAGAAGAATTTTGGAGGTTTTTGCCCTCTTATTTTTCGCTTATTTTTATTCTAAAACTTGAGACACCTTAGAAAGATATAGTAATTTTTAAATATCTCTTTTTATAACAGTTCAAAATTTTGGTTTTGAGAGCAAGATATGGATCCGGATCCGTGGATCCGCACATTTTTGTTGATCTTGATCCAGGAAGCCAAAATGTTGGATCTGGATCCTAAGCACTGGCTGACAGTACCCTGATCACTGGATCAGGGTATTAAAACACTAAAAACTGTGTTACGCACAGGAACTAAGACAAATTTTGCTAAGAAAAGTGATAACAAAGTTTATAGTAGAAAGAATAAAATATTCACGAACATTTTTATACATTTTTTGAACAAATTAAGAACTATCCAATTTTTAGCACTTATTTCTTTTTTTATGCTAAAACATGATGATTCAAAGAGAGAAATAATATATAATCTCTCATTTTTAACAGTTCAGATTTGGGTTTTCAGAGTTTTTTAACAGTTTTAATAGTCTGGATCCGGATTCTGTAATCCAACTGGTTGAGGATACATTTTTGTAATGTTTTTGGACATACAATTTTTTTGCTTCTCTAACTACAGGGGATGCAAGTTACTATACGCAATTTTTCCCAGACCTGACACTGTCACACTGAGTGCTAGGTTTGGTTTGGACCCAATGTGTTTAGTTATTCTTGTCTTTGGTTTCCAATTTAAGCCGAGAAGAACAACCCCGTCTGCATCTATTTATAAATTTGGCTTGTCTGTTTGTCTGTCTGTCTGTTTGTTTGTTTGTTTGTTTGTTTGTTTGTATCCAATAAACGTCAAAACGGCTGAACCGATCGGGCCCAAATTTTTTGTGGGACATCTAGGGACCCCAGGGAAGG